ATTCTACTCCCTCGAATAAAAAATAGTACATTCAATCTCCAAAAACTTGCACTCTTTTAAATGTAAATCAAGTAGGCCCATGGTTTATTTGACTTCTTAAACAGTCGACGAAGTAAAAATACTTAAAACGCGTATGAAAAGATGTGACATGACCTCATAGGTGAACTATTATCTTATTTTAAATGTACTGAACCAAGATGATAGTATCTACAAGTGCAATTTTAAATAAAGTAAGCATCTTTCCCATAAAGTATGTTAGACGCCCTTGCAGGAATATAAGTTAAATAAGACTTCATTTTAACGAGAGCATTTGAGTATGAAAACTGTATTAAAAATTAACACCTGCTATCTACTTCCCATTTACATACATCCCCATCCAAACTCAAATCGAAGTTAAGAAACCTTGATAATGTTCTCTCACATCACACTATGCATTATCTTAGAATTTGTTCTTCTCAAGTTTTCATCCAGAGATATTAAAGCTTTGGTGATCCTACCTAAGTTAGGGTGAAAAAGGAGGTGGAAGCAAATCATTTTAACATTTGATTTATTTCAAGGTATCTCAGTTTTCCATATTGAGCAGCCGAAATATCGGAAATAAGAGAAACCAGACGATGTAGACTGAAGGCGTTTTATTGCTATGTCGAAGATTCAAGTTTAGTCGTCCAAGCACTTCAATGCTCTCCAGAAAAGCACAGCGGCCTCGAGATTCCTTAGATTCCGAGGACTCGGTCTTCTCTAATAAATGGCGAACTTTCTGCTGTTTCGTGAGTTTAAAAGAGCTTTTTCCTATTAAGGCTTTCTATTTATATTAATTTTTTGAAATTATTTTGAAAAAAACAGGTAGCAAGAAAAAGATTCAGGTGACAAGTGCTTTATTCCGTATTCTTTTACACAAAGTGGCATTAGACACGCTTACAAAGGAATTAATAAGTATTCACAAGCGATGTAAATCGAAACTAGCAGCAGCAAAGCGTTAAGTAGAAAGGCGCTTCCTTACCCTCCAACGAAATAATTTGCCAAACTGCAAAAAACAGCTGTACAGCTAAGAAAGCCTTTTACTTCATTAGCCATAAGCCATTTAGAAAGTGATTTGATTTAACAACCACATATGTTTGCACAATTCTCGATTTATCCACATAAGCTACACCATTGGTTGGCTATAGTTGTTAATAACGAATAGGAGGAATTTTAAATCTAACGCGATTGAATGACTTGGCATTTAATTTGCGATAACAAAGTTTCATAATCAGATATGAGCTAGAAAAAGGTAGTTAGAATCACCCAGAACCTGATGGAAAAGTTCTAAACAGAATTTCAAGAACTTCCTCAGATTGCCGAAATAATCGATCCTCATTCCTATCTCTGCCCGTCTCCTGTATTGTAGTATGAAAGGCCAGTCAGTCGTATAAAAGATTCCTGTTCCATAAAGAATTGTTATTCCAAGTTGGCGAAAGAAAAATTAAAACTTGACTCCCATATTTAGATCGTGAGGGAGGGGGGAAAAGACAGGTGTTATACGACTTCATCATTGACAATCGTTAATATTTTACAAGCCAGTTGACTGTGCGATTCTTTCTCATTTCTCTAAGAGGCTTTACAGCCGAATGCTAGTAGCTATATTCTTTTCCTGCTTTATAGTGAATATTTTTGCAAGCAAAGCCAGCAATTTGACAAATAATCTACACTAGGGGGTTAATGGTATTTGCCCCTTTAGTTAAGTCGTAGAGATATCCAAGATGATTATAGACTATACCAAGGCTCAAATTTCATAACTGAACTGCTTCGGTTCAAGAAGATTTAAGGTGATGCTTATCGATTTGGAGGCTAGCCTATTTGAGCTGGATTTAATTTAGTGATGCCTACCTATCACGTGAGATGAGCCGTTGTTTACTCAGTGAATAATATTTTTCCAATTACTATCAAGTTTCTTCTCACTTCGAGAGGAGAACTGCAAGTATTTCGGACTAAAGAATTTCCTTTATGCCCTTATTCAGCGAATAATAAACCTATCAATTGTAATCGTTTTCGACTACGTGCTGAAACCGCGTGCGCAATTTTTCTGCGTGTATTTAATTGACAGGTCTGATCACTTTCGCTTTGATTATTCCAAGGTCACGCCTCAACATCAGTAAACACAATGACGTCCAAATTGTGATCGATATTCGTGCATGGTAACTCACGTGTTTGTGAATATAAATACACTCCACCGCCATAGTCGATTGTGAACCATAGCCTGTATCAAGAAAACGAGCACTCCGAAAGTAGTTTCGACACTTCCACAAATTACAAAATTTTCAATTAATTTAACATCTTTTCTCCCTTCTGCTTTCTTTCGCCTACAGTTCATCCATCGGTCCGACTTTACTAAGTTATCCAACACCACACACACTCGAGCTTAACTCTGTCATTAAGGTTTTCCATGCTAAATTGACATCTCGTGTGCCCGTAACACAGCTGCAGCCTATATCTCTGTACAACTATAGTCTCTCCTAAAACTCTTCGACTGCACATCTATCTACACTCGATAAATTTTTCTTATACGGTTAATTCTTAAAACTGTTCTGTATACCGTCACATCTTATAAACAGGTTTTACTGCATAGGGACCTAGACATTGTTCACATTCAATACATTTTTCACAAAAGACGGTATGAATGTTAAGAAGCTTTTGGGAAACCACCGATATCTTAACTGTGAAATCTTGCCAAATAGCTTGTGACATAAATATAGATGGCTAAGTAATATCGTGAAAAATACGACATCAGATGAGTTGGTTTCGAAACTCATAGATCTAAACAAAATATTTAAAGTGATAATAACCCAAATACCAAAAAGCACTCCTTAAACCCACATAAATATTGAAAAATAACTAGGTCAACAAGGAAACGAAACCGAATTGTTCAAGGAAAACCAATATTATTTGCAGGGGTGGGGCACTAGATAATAAGACATTGACTCATATAATCTGAAATTAGGATTAGTACTCCTTTGAGATTATACGGAGATGGTACTTGAAGGTCAACGGAAGCAAACACACCATGTTGGGCCATCTAACTGCCGAGTTTCCCTCTAAAAAATAAGCGGCTTAATTAATAACAAACACGGAGGGCAAAAGAAGGAAAACTCAGCGCCCAATACAAAACCAGCATTTGAACTGAATTGCCATGAATATAATTCAGTAATACAAACATCACTAAATATTTAAAAGTAGAACAAAGAAGTTAGTAACGTTCCACTTAAGTGGAATAAACTGTCGTGAAGACGTCCTTATTAGAAACTCGTTTTTAATTACCCATCCAGTAAAACCCGACGAGGTTGGCAATCCATGCTACTGGAAGTGCATCAGTTAGGAACGATTTCTTGGCTTCTAATTTAGCAGTTATGCACGATGACCATAACGTAACAAACACACAAGTATGGCATTAGGGTTTAAATGGGCGTCTTTATTTAGAAATTTCTTAGGGCTCACTTGAAGTCCATCCAGAGAAACTTTAAACGGACCAATTAGGTGATTATTCCTTCCTATTATTATTTACTAGGGGGATTTCCCATTATTTCTAGAATAAACAGCCACCCAAGAGTAGAGCTTTAAGCTATCCTTTTATCTTGGTTCGGGGTGTTCCCATCAAATGCTCGGAAAAATAGCGTTCTTCGGAATATATTCAACGTCATCATTTCCGAAACTAATTCCGTTTTAATGACTATTACAAAAAATAGTTATTGAGGTTACTTCCACGCATTTCATTCCTCTAACTTTCTATTGATCGACAGTTAAACTTCCCGGTTGACGTTCTTCTTCCTGAATTCAGGTCTATTTCGTCACATTCTTGCTGCTATAATTATTCATCCGGTCTTTGCGATGTTCTTTAAAGAAAATGGAGACGTTATTGAAATTTATGTGGCTTATCACCAGAAGAATCAACGAGAATTGAAAGCGACTCATCACGTGTTAGAATCAAAGTTGTTGTTGGAGTTATGGAACATTCTAGAATTTATTTTCATGGAGTTCAAAACGCCATAGCGCCCGTCTAACCATTGAATCGCCAAGGATATCAGCTAGATCATTTCGGGAGGTATTCTTACACTTATCAGAGGTTCAGCCTGCCTCTGGGTCTTTGAAATACTAGATTTTAGATATTGAAATTTCGTAGATATTTTTGATACAAAGACGTACATGAAAAAGCCACACACAAAATCATGATTTTGAAGGTTCACATCATTATTTTCGCTAAGAGCATTTCGCAAGAACGGTAAAATTACGAAAGAATATGTTTGTTTAGTAGTGTGTCCTCGTGCTAAATGTAAATATGTAAACATATCTATGAGGAACCGATGAGGAAAAGGACCTATTATTCAAAGTATTCAGCAAAATCTACATTACACAAGTGTTTTCAACAGATTTTTATATTTACATAAGTTGTGACTCTTGGACGTAAAGATAGTATAAAATAAACGTCAACTGTCCATCACTAAAGCAGGCAGTTGTAAGCACATTTTGGACGAAGTAATCTAAAAGGATAGTCGCCAATGGTTGTATGTTTATAAAAGCCAGTACGATGAGCTCGATTGACCTCAAAGGTGCGAACCAACCTAAATTCAGAGCATATGAAATAAATCATATAGACCCTAGAGTAGGCATGAAAACCCTAATCAATCTAGATAAACGATAAGCTAAACTAATTTGAAATGAAAAATCAAAATTAACCACATTAAAATGTATGATGCGCTGTTTAACATACAAGTATCAGAACATCGATTTCGAATAAAGGTACTAAATTAACCTCATAAAAATATTCGATAGAAAAATTGATTGTTATTAAAAATACTAAATTACCACTTTTGCCCTCCGCAAAAAGTCATGAAGGATCAGAGTTTAAAGTACACAACATTTGATTAAACCACATTTTATACGATAGAGCATGGAGCAAAATATCCAATTATGAAGATAGAACTCACAGAAAAGCATGTTGCAGAGATGGTCAAGATAAAAGTAAATTTTTAGAACGGATCATCAAGCATTGGTTCACGGCGTGGTTTTTTCACTTTCTGATGCAAACAAACCTTGGACATTGAATCCGTCAGACCTATGTTAGCAAAAAATATACATATAAATAATAATCCTGAGGTAGACCATAACTATTTTCCGAAATAATATTACCGAAATCTTGATAGTCCCTAAAGTCGCTATTTGGTCGTTTCAATTTTGATTTGATTGGGGTTGCGATTAGATCAAAGGGATATTGATATAAGTCTTTACTAGGAGGAGAAACATTTACTAAAAGATTAAAAAAAGCAAAAATCAAACATCAATTCGCAAAAATATAAAATGTAACCATTTTAAGTACAAACCATGGGTGGATGGAAAGGGCGAAGAAAGTTGCTCGCAAGAAAAGGTGAAATCTTTCTGTCTATCACAGGTAGCAGGGAAGAATTCAAATGAATTTATAGATGACAGCTGATTCAGATTATTTTCCACAAGAGGAGACTGTAAAATGCAACGCTGACGTTTTGATTTTTGACGCCTTAATCTGTTACACTTTCTACAATGTTTCAAGGAACTGATTCTCCGGCGCTTTTTCCCAAGATTGGGACCGAATGGACACAACGTGATTTTGTATATTTCTAGAGGTGTCATTGATTGAGAAGACCAAGAAATTGCGTCACGAACAAGAAGTCTTCCAACATCATAGCCAAGATCTTTACCGAGTTCTTCAACTAATTGCAGTGCCCTTTGTGACACTAAAGAAATGATGAGAAAAGGGAATGACATACTTGTGTGAAAATGGCCAATTCGACCAAGAGCCTGAAGTAGGTAATGCTGGTCACAATGTTGATTATCCAATTTCTCTGTAAGAAATATAAAACATAAATGGATAATAACTAATGATAATGAAACAGAAATAAAATGACAAGAGCACGAAATTAAAGTGATAGGACAAAACGCGACAGCAAAACCGAATTAACATATGGATTATGCTTGCAAGTTACGATTAAATAATAGCTGAGATTACCCTTGTATAATTGAGTGAGATCCGCAATCGCCCTTTGAAATGATCCCCAGAGAATCACTACGAGGCGATCGTGGCACGCTAAATAACGATTTCTGACATACTCATTACTTTCAACCAAATCATCGAAATCCGGCATCCTAGTCATTTTCAAAGTGACTTAAGTTGATGCATGCCCAAACAGTGAGTTCAAACATATTATTTAAAATTTTGTGAATATTAAAATATTCTAAAAATATTTTGCAAAGATATTTATTTTAGTTTATCTAACTTTGTTTATGACGCATATCTATTTTAAATAAAAATCAATGATATTTGCAAAAAAATTCAACCAACTACTTCTGCAATAATAATATTTTTAAATTGAAATTTAATTAATATTGCTCGATTGCAGAATTTAAGTTCCCTTAGTCTACATGGGACTTGTGTCCTTTGACTTCTCAGTGTGTACTCTCAAGAATGTCTTACTGTGAGACTAATCCGGAGTTATTGCAGAAGTTAAATGATGAAGTAAAAGCCAAGCCGAATAGGCCGCTAGGATTTTATCCTTCACCATTTCATGTCACGGACGAGTTTTTCAGGAGTAAATTTTCTCCATCGGATCCTTATCATTCATGTAAGAGAATTGACTGTTTTATTTTCTTTAGCCAAAGGATATCCATACTCTTACAAACCCTGTGGAAATTATCTTGGAAGACCTTTGATTGCCACTGATTTGCATCTTGGTACAACCTGGGGTACGAATATTTATCCATTTCGGCCAAAGTTTTGCCAAATAATGGAACGCGATTACCTAAGGTCGGTACATTGAAAGGCTTGTAATATTCTTTCTAGATGTCTAAGTAGAGTTGGTGTCCAAAATTCTGATAGGCTCTGTCGTGTTTATTGGGAGGATTTAATGGAATGTACCACGAATGAGAAATCGGTAAGCTAATCGAAATTCTTTTTACTTTTTATCTAGAAAAAGCGATTGCTTTTTATGGAAAAGGTCCGCAAGCAAAAGAAAATGGCTCCAATGGAACCTCCTCCTTTCACTGCTATCCCTCGTCCCTAAGTAGTTTAATTTATATATGTAGTGTGACCCAAAGAAATGCTGTGGTCTTTTTCAATATAAAATATGATATTGAAATTTTTTTAATTATCGTCTACTTTTTGAGGTTCCTCAAGTACGGATCTTCGTAATTTTAGTTGAAATTTCTATCTTAAGACTTTCCTCCCTTGTTTTGCTTTTTCCATTGCTCTTACCTGAATTACCTGTCTTATTGATCGTTTTTTGTTATAATTACAGTAATATTCGTTCTCTAATCATCAGAATTATTATAAGTCTTGTAGCATTCTGATTTGTATTTTGTTAATTGAGCAAATAATTTATTTGGTATCAACTACAATTTCTGTCCGACTGCGATGGTGAGAAAAACATCTGCTTTCTCACTAATTCAGCATTATAACCTCCTGCATATGCTTAATAAGGTTACTTACAGTCGTCAAGCTAAAAATCGTCGGTCTTCCTGCTTAAAATATTCTGTTTTAGTTACTACAGCTACCGAGATACCCTATTGGTATTTAGCGCCCTCGACCTCTAATCGTTTCCCCGCTCTGACTGTCCTATTCCTTGAAAGCCTGTTTTCTCTATTCAAAATTTTGTGATGCTTGGTCCTCACATTTCATAACTATCCTTTATGCTCCTTAAATTTTGTTTCGTACTTTAATGGTGCCTCCTAATAAAAATCTATTCTTGCTGCAATTCTCCATTTCGTATGCTATGGTTCAGATTGCTCAATGACCGCCCCACCTATTTCCTTGCAATTTGTACTTTCTCTTTCGGCAAGGTATTTTGCAATTCGATTAACCTCAAAAGATCTTCAGTCTTTTATTGGAGCATTCGGCCTAACTTTTTGCTACCCTCTAAGTACCTACTTCTTAAAGTTGCAGTAGCGTTTGAAAACTTATTTTTTTGTAAATTTGGGAGATGGAAAATGATACTACCATACCACCCGCTAGAAATATGGTTCCTTTCAGCGATAACCTCTCTGTTAAAATTCACGAATATGTTTTCTAACCTCATATCCTGGCTACAGATACCCTTTATTCCCTGAAAAATTAATCTTATGTTTTTAATGCTTTAGAAGAAAACAAGCTCTTGCCGTGTTGTTGTATTGTAAGTTGAGGAAGCTGTGTTTTCCTGGAATCAATTAATGTTAGGAAATTGTGATAGGCCCTGTTAGGCTGAAGGTCTACTTGTTTGATCCTCCAAGCGTGTAAAAAGGAGTTGGCCACTTGACCTGTGCTTATGGTTTCTCTATGGGAACTAGAACTTTTAACCTATGGGTACCATTGCCACATTTGAAGGCCGTATTGGATCTTTAAGCAGATGGGCCTACTATCACAATCTTGCCGATTTGACAAATCCTTCCACGTTCCATTCTTATTACCTCAACTTCATCGAAACCTGACGAATTCTACAGCCGCACAGTTTCCGTTAATCAGTTACATGACGAGGGTCTTTTTAATGCAAATATGCATAACCGATTCTGTCTTCTTTTCATCCGAATTTGTGGTATTGTTTGCTAAAATTTTCAGATGATTGCTACCTGATAGCGAAGTGCGGCTAACTGGTTTAACAGATTGCTCGTTCTTTCCTTTGAATATTGTCAGTGAATTAGGTTCACAGGTTTTATTCATCATGCACCCATGTACCGAATTTGAATATTAATTGGAGAAGCAACCTCACCATTGCTCTACTACTAATTGGCTGGCCAGGCACTTAGATATCTACCGATCAAACCTACAGGCAAATTTATTTTCTCAATAGAACTATCCCTTCAGTTACAGACCATCTGCCTTCTTGTCTTACGGGGTCTGTTGAATAATGGCCGTAGTTGTGTCACCTACACTAAGTACCACGTACCCTTATAGAATTTGCGATTTTCGATCGATCTAGATTCTTTCAAGCAAAAAAAAACAAATATTGCAATCTATGCAAATTGTCGTAACAATAAAGGGGATTTATTTTTTATTTGAGGTTTGCCTTCACAAAATCCTTTGCAGCTCTGATCACTTGGTCCATAGAGACACCATTAGGAGATCCACTGGCCTGTGCTGAGGTGTCTTTGCCACCGCCTTTTCCATTAATCAAAGCGGAAACGCAACCAGCCCAAAGGTTCGCCTTCAAACCACGTCCTGAGAGGGCCTGAGATAGGGGAGGGAAAGGAGTATTCAGTACTCAAATACATCCGCTACGAAGCCTAATCAAATATCTTCAGATCGGGGTGTGCGATAGACTTACCTCCATGTGGTGCACCCTGGGCAACGTATACTCATACGGCAAAAAAGTCTATTATTCGGCAGTTGACTTCTCACTTCAAACTACCATGACCTCACTATCACTCTGAGGTCCACCCTCTTGAACTTTGACGTTTCTTCCCTCTGTGAAATTCGAAGTCGGCTAAGAGCTAATGATAACTATCAAAATGCCTGCCATTCGAAATAAATAAATAAATATTTTCAGATCGCTTGAATAAAACTCCCAAGTTGTCTCTCGTGCACTGAAGTATCGAGCATGGCATTACTAGTTCGAACCAGGGAAAATGCATGGCTACAACTATTGGTTAGCCAGACAGCCAACCTTTTAGTAAATATCCAATTTTGTTCACGTTTATCTATTAAACAAAACGGAGTTTGAGTTACAAGTTTTCTCTCATCATTCTGCTGTCCGAGTGGTTGTAGTTTTATAAAAGCGCAGCTAGCGATGAAGGAAAGCAATAGCATATATGCGCGTTAGGATCGATGTCTAGGATTCAAGAGGTGGAATTTATTTCTCCCCTCGATATTATTCATTCGGAAATATGATTAGATATTACTAATTTAAAGTGAGTAATGTGCGCAGTTTTAACTAACATTACATGGTAAGGGAAAAGTTCATACTGCATGGGTATTCACATTGTTGGCAGAAATGTTAGTTGCCTGAATACTAGTGCCAGGGATAAAGATAATAATTTCGTGATTAATGCACATTTTATTTATAAAAAATAAGTGTTGCGATTTGCGTAATACAAGAAAAAGCATATTTCCTTATGTACAGACTAATTGAAAAGCACTTCTCTATGGCAGAATACTGAAACTATTAGTTTTTGTGCAAAGTTAGTGAAAAAGCATCAAGACAGAGAGCGATTTTTCAATCAAATTTAGAAAAGAAGAATTATTTTCACAGTTTCGAAATAAATTCTGGATTGATAGGCGCCCAAGATACTTTGACCATAGAGATCAATTGCTCCAGGCAGATAGATTGCTAATGTTCTTTGAGAAGTAAAAGGTTGCGTTCGATCATGCTTTTAATAGCAGTCATTAGACAATGCAATTGCATAATCTAATTAAAATTTGCATTTCGATCTCAAAAATTTTTCCCATTTTCATTTCAATTTCAGAGTGAGTATCGATAAATATTGTCTGGCAAGCATGAATGCTAGTGGTATTGCCCAAAACGGAAAAATGAGGGCAAATTGAAGATACTCACCTTAGGAACTTGAGCCAGACAAAGCAACTTATTGCTTTCAGAATCTAACGAAAGTGCCATCACAGCCGTTGAAGGCAAGGACTTCTCCATCTCCTTCAATGCAGAATTTAGAGCTTTAGCATTAGATCCCGCGTTGAAGACATGGACAATAAAGTCTCCAGATGCCGATTGACACAGCTGTTTGGCCTCTTCCATCACAAGACCAGCGGTAGCCGCCTTTGTCGCTTTGTCCAGCTCGTCCAGACGAGATTTGGCACCCGCCAGGGCACTTCGCATGGTCTCCCTTGGCCAGACGCCTATTTGTGCAGAATCCACCCTCTCGGACACAGAGGTGAACTTAATCGAGAGGGGACGCAAGACGGCCATATTGACGGATTTCTTGGAGGTGGCTTGAAGGATGGCGTCTACATAGGTGGTAACTTCTTGTTGCAGGTGGTGAGCTAATTTCTCGGCCTAAAAACAAATGAATACAAACATTATTGTCACTCTTAATTTGTCACTTACTTAGAAATGAGTAGAATAATAGATAAATAAATCAGATGGGAAACGTTAATATGATCTCATCAAAAACGAGTAGGAGCAATACACTGGAGCAATATACTGATATCGAAACTTCAATTTCAGCAAATAACTACCCATGCCTTGTAAAGGACATTCATAAATTTTAAATCAGTAAATTAGATTTTACGATGTGAACATTAACTCAAGTCAGTATATTCAATGTGTTAATTAATAGTGGGAAGAAAAAACACCAGAATTTGATATGGGGTTTTAAAACCTATGCACTTTCCCCTATTTTTATTTGTGTGGATGAACTAATAAAGCAAGGAAACGTTGCAAGTGTAATTCTTTAGCACCATTCTAAAAATTGCAGCCTTTGGCTGCGTTAGAGGATATAGACAAAACAAAGTGACTTGACCAGCTGCAAAGTTAAATTAACCCGTCAACGAATCAAAATATTCTGCCCATTATCACTTCGGGGAAGGGGGGGGGGCAGATTATTAAGACAAATTAATGAACTTAATGAGAGTATGAACAACTATAGACTTCCACAATTAAAATAAAATGAGATCTTGTAATAATGCCCTACTTCAGCACAAAACTTGAGGGGATTCATGTTTTACTAGATATATTTTTATGAGCTCAAAATACGCCAAAGGATCTTTCACTGTCACCGTCAACAGTGGTAATAATATTTTTAGCGTTTTGACTTACGCGTTCACCCTCAGGTCCAGTTAGAGCAACAACTCTTCGAATACCCTTTGCAATTGCTTCCTCCGAAATGATCACAAACTTGCCAATGTGGCCCACATTCGTGACGTGCCTAAAACGAAGGAAACTCTGCATTACCAGCTCATCATTTGGTCGCTTGAGAATAGCTTCCCTCATAAGCGAAATCCATCGAAAAGTAAAGAGAAATTGGGATGGGAGGGTAAGCAGATGTTGAAATTATGAATATAATGCTCCTTTAGAAACAATAGCACATCTAAGCATAAAACCGAGAAGATTTGCCAAAATAAACAGACCGCTAATCGCCTATCATCAGAAAATGAATTGATTATTGGGATTCGAGGCATTAATAAATAAATGCATTGCACTAAACTTACGTTCCACCACAAAGTTCCACTGACGTTCTGCTTGCTCTGTCATTATCTTTCTCTGAAATCAGCTTCTCCACCGGTACACCAACAGACACAACCCTAACAGGATCAGGATAAACTTCACCAAACACAGCACGTAGTCCCTTAATAGCTTTTGCATCGACCAGTGGCACGTCTTTTGCAAAAATTGGCTGCCCAGACGATACCATGCGTTGGGCTGCCTTCTCAACTTCTTGAACTTCCTTCTTAGTCAGAGCGTGCTAAAATAAACGAAATAACTAATAAAACGCGTTACTGAAGTTATATAAGTAGAAATATTAAACTAAGGCAATTTACTTTCGAAGAGAAGTCGAAGCGCAACCGGTCAGGAGCAACAAGACTACCCTTTTGGTCAGCATCTTGTCCAGCAAGTACACGCCGGAGAGCAAAGTTGAGTACATGAGTAGCTGTGTGATTGCGCATCAAACCAACTCGTCGAACAGTGTCTAAATTGACACGAACATTTTCGCCCTTTCGTAGGGAGCCTTCTTCAAATCGGCATAAGTGCAGTACGAAACCACCCTTGTTGCGAACACCAATTACTTCAAGTTCATTGGCCTGAAAAATAAGATTTACGTTATTAATAACCAACATTATGATTATAACTTATGAATTGTATATTTGCTTATACTTTAGTTAATTCTAAATTTTTACTATATAAGGCCATTATACACTGCTAATTCTTAAGATCACCAGTTTTGTAGGGGGGATATTTATAATTCTAACTAGTTCCACTGGTGGGATTGATACTACTTCAACGTAAAAAAACAAGGGAATTACCAAAGTCTTATCGTTAAGCGCCACCAATGTTTATAATAAAGCAAGAGTGTTGCTGACCTCATTTTCTTCACTAACAATGAAACCGTGGTCCTCGGATTGGCCACCAGCTTCAGCATAGAGGACAGTGCGATCAAGGACGAGGCCGATCACTGAACCCGTACCATCGACTTTATCGACAAATCCATCTCCTGTTCGAATGGCAAGAATCTTTGCAGTACACTCCGCGAACTCTGAAGATATAAATAGAGAAGTTATTTAAATGCTCGATATAAAACCCATTCTTGGAAACATAATACAGACTCCAAAAGATATATGAACAGTCAAACGAGATTCCTTAACCATGCGAAAGGCTTGGAAGGTGTCCAGTTATAAAAATACAATACAGAGACCTGATAAGACCAACAATTTAAGACCCAAAATCTCACTACCAGAAAAATACACTTACAAGTATCAACATGAAATGGAGATCCACATGGCCTCTAAATTAATTTAAGCAAAGTAAAATAGTAACGTAAAGATATATTAGAGCGAATATACAGAGAAATGCGTCTCTGGGTTGGGTCAGCATTTCAAATCGCAAAAGAATTGAAGAAATAGCTGTTCGAGGTGTAACAAACTACAAAGTGTAGAATATCTTCTAAACCACTCGAAAAAGGGGATAAGTGGAGCAACAAAACCAACATGGCTAACTCGTATTCGAAACTGCAAATCAGGAGACAAACGGTTAAATTTGGATTTCGGAGCATGAGCTACCCACTTAGTAGATACTGCACAATTCTAAGCCACAAAATGCGTGAAGTGGGACTTTTTGACATATTAACTCTGATTCACGACCCTTTAATGGACTTTCTGTTGCATGACCTCAGTTACTTCCCATAAATAAAAATCGCATTTTCTGCAATTGTGCAGTTTGTAGGAATAACTACAACCCCGGGGACAGCATAGGAGCGTGCGATATTTGCGCTAATCTATGAAAAAACTTAAACCAATTCGGGTATTCGATCTTTTTCTGGCAAGTCAAAGGAAAGGCCTTAGTCTGAAAAGTCCAGAAGTCTACGTCTATCACTCTGATGGTCAGGATGGGAAAAAAGTAATTAACAAGGGACACTCAAAATTGTAAACAAGCGGCTTACTATATTACAGCTTATTAACCAGAAAAACAGCTGTAGCTGTTGGCCAGAACTTGTTTGATACAACACTACGATCACCGCCTAACCGTACAGCGCCTTCTCTAGAACTTAGACGATTTAGGAATCAGGAGATGATGCCGGACAAACAAATAAAAAAACGCGCCAATTACCATAGATTCGTTTCTTGTTGCTATACTTGTACTCGTATTTTAGGCTATCATCAGTCAGCGGAGTACCCTTTGCCTGCAGACTTGCAATATCATGAACATCTAGGTCCACATCTGCAACTCCCGCGCTAGCAGTTCCTTGACTTTTCAACAAAGCTTCTTCTTTCGCCTTCTCATAGCCATCCACATCAACCTAACAAAAAAAAGGGCAAAGCAATAATACATACAAATTCAAATTACCATTGGCGAATTAAATCGTGCCTGTCGAATAAACCCTCTAAGCTCTAAGCAGCTCTTTCGCTGTATTTTAAGTCCACAGCATAACGCAGCACTAAAACTGCCTTAGCTTGACTTAAGATAACGGGCAACTATTTGATCATTTCATGAGAGACATAAAAGGCCAATATCGGTGTGCGCCTTTTGAAAGCAGTTTATTCTACGCAACGCCTTCACTAAAAGCACTCCATTTAGCATATAGTCATGTTGTACTAACTGGTATCAAACTCACAGACCCAGCCTAATGCCACGACAGAAAAGAGACATTGTGCAAACATGAATAATAGTGCTTAACTCTGTAGCACCTCCCATGGAAAATCAAATGGGACAATTTTTAACGAACAGGAAAAGGAACAGCGAAGTAGTCTAATAATGGGGGAATATTGGAGGGTGCCTTCTGAAGGAAGCATCCTGCTTGAAAAGGCCTTCTTTAAAAGAGGTACCTTCCAAATTCAATTTAGTCGTGTGTACTGACCGGGAACCAACACTTGCGGTTCCGGCCTAATGCCACGACCGAGCCAGTTTGAAGCTTGAAAATAGGTCTTGAGAAAATCAATTGGCATCTTTGAGATGAAATCTTTCAACAAAATAGCACTCATTAAATACACAACCCAGTTTACACTTGGCAGTTTAGCACAAGAAGAAGGAAACTATTTCACTGTTTCGCAAAGACATAACAAGGTAGAGAATATCTAAAACGCGTATTTTAAAATAAATACAGGAGTGCACCTTTAGAAGGCTTCAATCAATGCACAATTTCACCAAAAGTACTCCACTTTGAATTTAGTAGTGTTATATTGACCAAAAACCAACTCACAAGCCCAGCCAAATGACACGGCCGAAAGAGACATTATACAAATTAAAGCAACCAACTCTATTTCAGCTTCCATAGTAAAGCAAAAGAAACTACAACTTGTCACTATGAGGAACAAGGTACAACAAAGTGGGCAAATATGAGGATATAGGTTGGGGGAGGGGTTCTTGAAATGGGGCAATATCGGTGTGCGCCTTTTGAAAGCAGTTTATTCTACGCAATGCTTTCACTAAAAGCACTCCATTTTGTATATAGTCGTGTTGTACTAACTGGGATCAAACTCACAGACCCAGCCTAATGCCACGACAGAACATTCTCAACAATAACAATAGTTAAGTAAAATGGAGGTCAATATCGATGATCCCCTTTTGAAAAAAAATTTTCTATATATCACCGCCATCTTTAAAAACGTCAATTTACTTTTAGTTGTTTGTACTAACTGATTTCCAGCCTGCAGACACAGCCCAATGCGCAACGAAATCAAAATAAATATATTGAAGTAAAGTGGTAAGATTATAAAAACAGTGCATCTGAAATAAACTCTACAGTTTCAATAGAAAAACAAAACAGCGTTTGAACAAAAAAGGAGTGTAGACTGTAGAAGTTATTATTATTTCTGCTTGATGTAGAGGTGAAAAGCTATTTATTCACAAAAACTTACTTGAACGCCCAACTCCTCAGCCATAATTTGAGTGAGATCGAGAGGGAAACCATAAGTGTCATAGAGGCGCCAAGCAACAGATCCTGGCAGAGTTGTCTGTTTGGCCTTCTTTATGCGTTCTACCTCGCGTTGAAGTAGCTTTTGACCTCGTCGGAGAGTTAATAGGAACTGTTGTTCCTCTTCGTTAATTATTTCCTTAACCTAGAAAAATGAGCAGATCAGGATAACGGAAAGAGATTAACTTTTGGATTTCTAAATCACAGCTCAAGATAAAAATCTATTTGTGCTCTCAAGAGCTGCTTGGAACAAGTGCCATGCTAATTTGTTAAATCAAACGCGCATCAAATTTTGCGGGTGACCACCATTAAAATTTGATACTATTTTCAAGTAGCGACACGCATTCAGTGAACACGACTTTGATAATCAAGATAAACTTAGGAAAATAGTATACCTATAACTTACTCAATGCACTTATTCAATTATAAAAGGCAAGCAGGACGTACTGATGCCGGATCCTTTTTGACTTCAGGGAAAGCATCACCCAGAGAAGCAACAACCGCATCCACAAGAGAGGAAAAGAAGCCAGGTTTTGCGCCGAGGACTTCAATTGAATACCGAATGGCACGTCGGAGAATACGCCGTAGGACATATCCACGACCAGTATTGGAAATTTGACCACCATCACTTAATGCAATGGTGAGATTTCTCGCATGATCAGCCAGTACTCGGTAAGAGAGGTCAATATTGCCTTCATCACCTTCCCCTATTTTACCAGCATATGGTCGCACACCAGTGGCCTTGAAATAAAGAACCAATAAAGCTAAAACTACCAAAAATGTAACAGCGTGTATTTGAAAATCGCTTACCCTATGAATGGCTTCAAAATAGGGGACAAACAGATCAGTATCGTAGTTTGATCGTTTCCCTTGAAGAACAGAAACAATGCGCTCTAAGCCCATTCCCGTATCCACGTGTTTCGCTGGTAGATGACGTAGGTTACCACCTTCTTCTCTGGGATAAAATATTCATTAAAATCCTTGCACTGACAGACTAGATTATTCCAAATAAGGCCACTTTAAGAATTAAAAAGGAAGCATTTCAATGTATAAGACATTCGGAAACAAACACCGAATGTCCATAGGGCTACATAGGCTTCTCTTAATCGTGTACTAGAATCGGGAAGCACTGAATGCTTTACACTTATTGATTAGTTATTTTCGCTCCATCTCTAGAATAAATCCAAAATAGTTTGAAACAAAACTGAAACAACAACTACGTTATTTTGATGAACGATTTACTGAATTCCTTCAAAGCTGTCAGCCGTGCTGAAGAAAGGTATATTCAGTTGATCTCTGCAATAGTTGGATTTCATTTAAAAACTTTCACAGCTAATAACAAAATTACACAGGATAATCTTAAAAGTCAGGCTTCCACAAAAGCTAAACTGAGGGATTTTATATTTCAGCAAAAAATTAGAAAATGAATTTTAACGAGAGCGTCAACTCACCTATTATACTGAATGAACACCAAGTTCCAGATTTCCAAAACATCTGGATCATCCATATTTACGAATTTCGAAGCGTCCCTTCCACCGATACGATCAAAATGAATTTCCGAACAAGGACCACAAGGACCTGTTTCGCCCATCTCCCAAAAATTGTCCTTCATACCAAATGGCAATATTCGATTTGCAGGGATTCTATTAAAAATTATACATTTAGTGAACATTCGTTTATTTATTGAATTAAATCGAGTTAATTTTAGATTACCCTAAATCGAGCCAAACTTGTCGTGCCTCTTCATCACATTCGAGTCCAAGTTTTTTATCACCTCCAAAGTAAGTGACATAAAATCGGTCTTTAGGAAGTTTCCAAATCTGAGTCAAAAGTTCCCAAGCCCATTTACAGGCTTCTTTTTTGAAATAATCACCAAAAGACCAGTTTCCAAGCATTTCAAAAAATGTGTGGTGATAGACATCTCGACCAACATCTTCAAGATCATTATGTTTGCCACCTGCACGGATACATTTTTGAGAATTTACAACGCGCTTGTAAGTTGCCATTTCTGTATTAGGATCTACTGTTCCTTGAAAGATTGACTTCCACTAAAATAACACTTAAATAAATTTGTATGGTCGGTAAACCTGATTCATTCCAGCGTTGGCAAACAACAGGGTTGGGTCATTATGTGGGATCACAGATGAAGAATGAACATATTTATGCCCCTTAGATTCGAAAAATTCTATGAATTGTGACCGAACGGTTGCCGCATCAATTTTGCTCTCCATAGCGTGGCCAAAAGTACGAAACCTCCTCCAGCCAATCAAAATGAACCCTGAGTATTATCATAAAACTGGCAAAAGAGATGGCTAAGTAAAAGCTATAAATTATAAGTGATAAGTTGATAATATGATTGTATTTCAGGTGTCTCAAATATAATATCCAACAATATTCAATGAAAACGATGTTTAAATGAAATGCTGAATCTTCTGGAATATCTTACCAAAAATTTTTCATGATTTAATTTATTTTTGAATATATATCCAGTTTGTGTGCTTGCAAAATGCCATTTAAACCCTTATCAAATTTTATACTATTGAGTAGCTCGGTCCATAAGTAATTCAGTCGGGTGTATGTCATCTCAATTTTATAGCTAAAGTGCCTATTTACTTCGAATCATTTCACAACATATTGCTTGACCAACTTACAATTTCTCACTTATTCTATTTTGAGAGTAAAAAGTCTAATTAAATAGCGTTTTATGTAACTATTGACGTAGCATATTTTTCTCAATATGCATCAACGTAAGCATGGTGAATCATTTTTTAATTAAATATTATCTTTATAATAGCTATAATAACTTTATTTAGAATACAAAGCTTAAATATCATTGCAGCAATAACCAAAGCTATCTAAAAAGGTATGGACAATCGCAAGCCAGTCGTCTAATTAAAGGCAGGAAAATACCTTCTGATATTCCCTATTTTCATTCATATAACATACCTAGAATAATTTTGAAACAAAATGAAAGAAAAAAATACAGTAGAGAAAGCCCCACTTATAACTGATAACACTGGACTATCTGTAAAGCTTATCATTTGTCAAGTGCCCAAGAATAAGTAAACAATTCATGGACTTTACTTCCGCTATATTGAGTTAAATGTGTGCCCAAATATTTTTAAATATTTCGTTCTGATTTTTGAGAATCGTACTTAGTTCCACGCGTTTGGCGTGCATCTTAACAATTATGCAGCGTATCCTTTCAAGGACAAGAAATTAAAAGGAAATATACGGATATTAATGCAATATAAATTAATGAACATTTTCATATGCTCTTCTTACATTCTGGACTGATGTTGGACATTCTTATTGGCCTAATTATGCCCAATCTTTATTGTTTGGGCGAAATATATAGTAGAATGTTTAAACCGTTTGACAGCAAATTGTGTAATCAAGAAGGAGGAAAAGTAATGAACATTTAAGTGCTGCTGTTTTAAATAAGTAATAATATGTCTTAAGAGAATATATTGATAAGTTTTGAACAACACAAATTCCAACGGCCAAGACACCCTTATTTTTCGAACCGGATGACGGAGAAAGGCTAATATTTCCATTAGAAATGACGATATTAAAAAGTACGTTTTTATCTACAAGATCTATTCGAAGAATAGGAACTGAGCTTACTTCATTAAAAGAGTACTATTTCATTTAAATTTCGGACCCTTAATAGTTTTAAACTTTTCTTACCATGGGTATTTCAGCTCGACTTAATTGAAAGAAAAATCCGATCCTCCGGGCCCTGAGTGATTGCAAAACTGCAACCGTTCAAGATTGACTGTTTTAGTTTAATCAATGATAATAGAGAAGTCATAGATTTTCTCAAGTGGTCCTCTCGCAATAGTATCATAATAGCAATTTTTCAATGTTTACAATCAGAACATAGTGAAAGATTATCTATTACCTTCGCCAACATTGAAAATTCATTTAAATAAATTTATGTAAACATAAAAATCTCCTGATGATATAGTTCAGAGAAACGTTTCAAATCTCTGGGTGTTCAAATATAAGTTAACGAATTACATGAGCTCTCATGGCTCCTCATTTTATTGGCTTAAGCTACTTTCGATACATGTTTGTTTGTTTTACCTCATTTACTACATTTTCTTTTTTCGCTTCTAAGTGGTTAAGTAAATAATGCTTTTAATATCATGACTGTTTCCCCATAATATGGCAGTAATCGCAGGTCTGTTTCTTTATAGTTAAAAAATTATCCTTTAGCTCAAATCTCTTCGTAGTTTATTCTCATTTTGCTACATTTCTTCTTAATAAGGCTGAATATACTTGTTGACATTAACCAAACAATTCTATGCATCTAATTTAAACGTTTGAGATCAATGGGTTATTTTTTTCCTGCATCTTTTCTGAACATCAGTTTTTAATTAAATTACTGACATCCCATATATATTTCTATCCCATTGTGATGTTATAGATATCTCGTCTACCTAAAAGGTAGTTTGCATTATTAGGCTCATCGGAGACGCTGTACTGACACAATTCATATTTTTCAATCGAAGCACCCAGATATTCTTTGTCCTTCATGTTTTGATGCCTTAATCAGCACGTAGTCATTCACGTAATAGATATATGGTTGGGATTAATTGTTTTAGTTGCTGAAATTCCTTTCCTAAATAATTATTCTAAACACACTATAAGGACTTTTAGAGTGAAGGGACCGGGTAGAGGGAGGTACATGCAGGTTAAGTAAGCAAGAGGATGTTATCTAAGCTTGATTTGAGTAGATTTTGCAGTGGGTTGGCGAGGTTGCTACTGACTATAACATTAAGTACAGTTTTACCCAGGAACAATTTATTTAAGGGTTAGGAGACTAAAAGGAGCTTCTTTGCAAAACGCGTTGGGATTTATGTAGTGTTTCAGATGAACAGTAAGAATATAAACACAGATAAGCTCGGCCCAACTTAAATACAGTTAAATTTCAAAATCCAGATCATCCATTCGCTTACAATAATAGCATGTGCATTGGTTATCCTTTGAATACGGTTAAAATTCTAGAAACGCTTGCAAAATTCGAAGAAAATATATTCTATTCATGACACATCTGACGTCCTCACCTACTCATCACTTCAGTCAATCACGCATTTAAAATCATTGGACCAGTCTCATTTTATCATCGTCATTCAATCACAATTCATACTTTGTGCGAATAGTATTTAACTTAGTGATGAGGTTCCATCTAAGCTCAGATATAGTCAATTTCTTAGTATAAATCTTGATGGAAGGCTGGTTGTCAGAAAAGGGACGTCTATACAGTTAAATTATCCGTTTGATTAAAAGCAAAAAAATCTGACATATTTAGTCAGCGAGGTTTCGCAACTCTATTAAGGTTACAGATCTGGCATAGGTTAATCTAGTTGAGAACAATAAAAAGAGAAAATCGCTAACTTCATCTCCCAAACGCAGTGTCAGTGGATTTCTTCTTTCATACCTATATAGTCATGATCACTCTTTACTGTAGTTATCATTTAATGAGGCAGCCAATGAGTGATCGTACTTTCAATCTTATCTTAGTATTCATTTTCTTGACAAAATTTTTAGGTAGAAATCTTCTTCCAGTGGCTTATTTAGGAGAAATTTGAGCGTTAAAAGTTTACTTGTTTCAAATGGCAGGCGTTTTGATAGTTACCATTAGCCCTTTAGATGACATCGGACTTCATAGAAGGGAGGAATATCATAGGGGGAAAAATTCGAGAGTGAGGGAAGAAGGGTGATTCACAGATGTAAAGAGACAGATGGACACAAATGCAGAGAAAAGGTAAAATGAGCACTGTTGAAGTGGTCGAATTTGGCATACAGTGGGGTGATGGTAGTTTGAAGTGAGAAGTCAATTGCCGGTTAATAGACATTTTTGCCCTATAAGTACACGTTGCTGAAGCTGCACCACGTAGAGGTTAGTCTATCGCTCATTCCTATTTTTTATATCTTGTATACCTTAAAAATCCCATCCCTTGATTTCAATTTTTCCGAGTTATTACTGACTTTAATTTTTCATTTGTTTAAGAACAATTACAACCAGAATTGAAGTTTAACGAAAATAGCACAAAAATGGTCTGCTTGAATGTCCTACGTCTACAATAATTTAACTAATAAAAATATCTGTTTTGATATATAAAAAAATATTTTCCCTGCCAATGAATAAGATGAGAAAGCTTTGCTGCTTAAACAAGTATATTGTGTGTTTTCTACAGTTAAAAACTTATTTACCTTTCCTTATCAATCAATTGCTGTCCAACTTCTGAAAAAATAAACAAACTTGTTTTTATCAGATTGGAATATATTAGCAATGGTAAATAATCACACAACAACATTTGCTCACAAGATCTCAAATTTTGCACATTTAAAAACCCAACTCGGTGGAGAAAGAACGGTTTTTGGTAAACCTAAAGGCTAATTCTAAGCCAATTTCGAAGAAAGCTACTTAGGTTAGGGAATAAATGATGGAGAATATGGCTCCGGACACACATCGTTGAAACACTCTCCAGGGCGTAGTTCACTATTTTAGTTTATGCGTATGTGTTCTCAGCTATTAAAACGACTAGTTTACTCACAATTTCAATTCATTTAAGCGATACTTTTTGATAATTTATGTTATCTAGTGAAAAAAGTATGTAAATATTTTCAAATTACCGAAGCATATTTTACGGTATGTAATTCTAACTTCAATACTTAACTTAAGGACTACAAACCAATAAGCTAGAATGTGTATTTTTGGTGCTGGCATGTCCAAAGTGGACTTATACGATTTGGAGGCCACTGTATTCAGATCCAAGCAGGCTATTGAAAATGCCTTCTAGTTGATTTCCATGCATACGTAGTGCCCACGATTTCAACGAGAGGGCTCCACCAACCTAACCGTTGTTTGTGTTATTTGTTTGATGTCGTCTTAAACCCAAGACAATGTGATTCATGTAGATATAGGCCATAGTAACACTTCTGAAGCTAAACTAGTAAAAAATGGTGATCTAGAAGTGTTATGTTATGGTGGACAAATTTGAAGTTCTAAATCAGAGCGGTGTTTCATTGGTTATTTAAACATGGTGTAGTGTTTAATGTGGACACAAAATATTGCATTCAATTTGTATTTTTCTTTTTATTTTCTGTTAAGCGTATTGACCTGCTTCGCGTGCAAGAAGGCATCTAAATTGAAAGTCCTGAGCACAGGTATCTAAGGTCGTGTCATAAACAGTGTGCTGGGCAATGTGACCAATCCAGTAGAATGTGGATAAAAACCACGCATGCAATCACATCTCTTTAAATTAATCATTCTCTGTCTCCATTTGCCACTGCGTCTTCAGCTTGAACAGAAAGTCGTGAAAGGGACATGAGCCACTGCCATAAATCAAACTAACGCCAACCGTTTCTCAAGCTTTTCATCACTGCATTCAATGAAGGCCTTCAAGTTCCCCCTTTGCAGACGACAAAACTGTCTGTAAAATAGTGGTAAATATACTCTAAAAAATCTTGAGAGTTCTCAAAGCACTGTTTTGCTTTGCAGACTTCAGAAATGACAGAAAGGATGCTGAATAACATAATGTATGCTTTCGTAAACCATAAATCGGGTAAATGCTTCTGGGAATCAAGACCGTACTAATAATTTAAGCAATAAGTTAATATCGATCGATATCAAATAGAATGATGCAAAATTAAAATCACGTATATACAGTCATATATAATGACAACTGTGAAAATTTATCTTAACAAAAATGTACTAATTAAAATTCAATTTCAACAGAGAAAATACGGTTTTTATGATTAAATTTGGATTTTGAAAGGAGGGGAAAGAGAGCGTTAGAAATTTTTTGATCTTACACTTAGATTTTTACACTCTTTGGCCTTAAAATGTCATTCCTTGATATGCTTGAGAGCCATCACGGCGGGTGAGTGGAAACCCTAGTAGACGATAATTTTTAAGAGTGAAGCTTTACGTAAACTTGCAGTCTCATTCTCCCCTACGTACCAAATTCGTCTGACTTTAGTAGAAAGCCTATGGAAGATGCGAAGCTTAACAATATTAAGTGATACAATGACGTTAGTTTGAGCAGTGCAGTGCACTTTTCTTCTCTAATGGCCAAAATAGAAGGATAATACTTGGTTCGATAATTTTAAGATGGACGAGCTCACTAGAGCTTACTTATGCTGGGCTCCAATCATATCTCCTGGATTTTGCTGAACCTATCACTCCCAAACAAATATTACCTTCTGATCCAACTTCTTAAAAGAAAAGACTAGACTGTAGATTAATCATGGTGGTGACTGGGGATGAGGAACCCAGGCTATCTTTATCCTTATTTTCAAAGAACTAGATTTGATAAATAGATAGGTGGAAAGGGGATTGGCAATCAAAGAATGGTTGAAATGCACAGGCTATTCACGGCGTAGAGTACCCCTGCCAGAGCCCATTAATGGTTTAATTTAAGCATTGCTTGTTTAAGCTTTCAAAAACTTCGAAGAGTCAGCTGAAGATAAGGAAAACGACATACATTCAACTTGGCTTTGTTCCATGCCTTCGATACTAGAGCTTATTGCTACTAACTCAGTAGGTGTTAAAGTGGAAGCTATGAAACCACCTTAAATACAGCTGTCTAGCTATTTTCCAAATGGATTATAAAAAAGACATTTTCCTTTTGCGAAATCTGCTTGATCCGGTTACCAATAAAGTCCAGAAGTGCTCTGCCTTGGCTTGTCCAAAATTCAGTTCACTCCACACTGAATATCATTTTAGATTTTGTCCCACTTTCTTCCTTGCTTTAAATGCTTCAAATATTTAAACTTATAAAGTCGCAAATTCAAACAATTGCAACCACATGCATATGCAGCTGTCAACGTCGTAAAAGTGTAAGGATGTGGAAACCTACAAATTAATCAATTAAAAAATGTATGAAATCGATAAGCAATGCGTGGTTAGTGAGGTTAAAGTTTTTAGCATTTCTCATTCTTCTACTCGTTTAATGCTACGACTAAGTCTTGTTCACGATTTACAATGAACTTACTTAAATAAATGGAGATATTTCCAGCGTTCTTTAGATACAGTGTGTCCCAAAAAAACCAATAAAAATTGAAACTGCTCATAAACGTGGAGTTCATTTAGAATTTTATTATTTCAAAAGCGTAAAAATAGTTTACAAGTAAAATTTCATTTTTTCCATTGTTTTTTGTCAAACTGACGTCCATTTTGATCCAGACACTGCCGACAACACCAAACATTTCATGCTAAATAGCTTCTCTTAATTCAGTGACTGTTGCCGGTTTCGTAGTGTAGACTTTGTCTTCTAAGTAACCCCATAAGAAAACGTTTAGTGATGTGAGGTCTGGTGTACGGGGCGAATATTCAACAAAACCTCTTCGTCCAAACTGCCTGTTTTACACACACACACACACACACACACACACACATACACACACACACACACAATTTCAAGAGGAGGGCAATTAAAATAAGGCTTCAATATTTTCTCTTATTATTCACATGAATGTGAAGGAAATAATCTGGTACTTCATCTATTTCTAGAAATGTGCTAAATTCTGATGTCTGTCAACTTCAATACTGGTTTATAGTTGTCGCGGTATACCTATTAGGGCTTTCTACTGCTTCAAAATTGATCTCTCATCACCAACTTCCGTTGGTCAACTATGACAATCAGATTCTTCGGCCAACTACTCCCTAACTGCAGTTTCCACAAATCTCTTTTTATCTTGTACTGGTTTTTATTTAGTGACTCTAGTGCATAGTCCTCCCTAGAATTACCTCAAAGATCCTTGAAAAAGGTAGACAAACATAACCCAGGCTTTACGTCGGTAGCTAGCGGAAGAAAGCGCACTTCGGGAACTGTTCAAGGTTTTTGTATCAGGAAAAACTTGGCATTCTATATGTCAGACTCAATAAGATTTCTCCTTTTAGATTCAGCAGGATTCCCTTGTTGTCATTTTAATCGCCCGGTAGTATTGGTTTTTCATGCTCAGAAAAAAGCAATTTCTATCATGGACTACTTTTCCACTAAAGTTAGGCTAAAATATTTCAGTCAGAAGAACCTCTAACCTTAAAGGAAATCTAAAGTCGAAGATCTCTGCCAAGATATATTCTTACGGCCTGCATTTCGATGTAGTTACCAGTTTAATTTTCATTTATTTCCCAATTACATGAAGGCACCTCAGCCCACAGGGTTCGACCGCCAAGAATGGCATAATCTTGAAGCAACTAACCGACTGACCAATTTCTTCACCACCGTTAATTGTCTGGGCAGAACGAATAAGAAGTCGAGCAAAACAGACCCAGAACAGGCAGGTACCACCGACTTTTAGTACAATCTACACAAAATTTCTGGTTCCAAGAACGTAGGCAGTTGCAGTATATTAAAAAAACCTATAGGATAACACACGCTGAAAATGTGAACTGGAACATGACCGCATTGCTGACGTTGAACGTCACATGACTAATGCCGTATATGCTGCTAAAACGCAGTCCGAAGATGACTAAAAGCACAGAATTTGTGTGATATAAAGCGATGTCCCATAAGCTTACACGCGGCAAGGCGAAGTGTACACTTTGCCAACAGACGAAAAGTAATAGCACATCTTTAAGCTGATAGAGGTGGTTTATTACAGCACCTGAAATATGGGTAATAATAGAAGTACCATCACAACAGCACTCGGATGTGACTATACATAATGCAAAAATTTACATGCAAATGATTGTGTACATTCAAGTTTAAAGAAATTAGTAGAGATTATAGAATAAGTTGAAAAAATTCAGCAAGCTCCATTTACACCAACAGGATTGAAGATAGAGAATCAAACTATACATAAGGAACAGAGAAGAGAGAAAAAGAAATATTTAGGCATTGGAAATGGTATCAAGAGGATAGTTTTGCGTTTAATGTTGGAAAGACAAGCGAGCATACACAAGTATTCATAAACTCATTTAGAGAATACTTTCATGTCTTTTAGCTTCTTATGAATCCAGTTGGCAAAGGCACATACTGAGTAACTTGGCGGTAAATTTCAATTCACTCCTTCCTGGCTCGTGGTCTCTTTTTCTTTGAAGTTATTTCCTGCCATTCTTCTTCAACTGGTTTCTCCATTTGGGGAGGAATGAAGTAGGAAGGAGCAGGGCTACCATCTGAAGAATTCTTTCGCTCAACTTTACTGTTCTTTTTGGCAGCTTTTTCGACTTTCTTTCCTTGTTGTTGCTGCTGATTCTTCTTTGGTTGATTTTCCTGCTTTGGAGACTTTGTTGGCTTTGCAGCCTGGGTATGTGATGCCTTAGCAGGCTTAACGTTTACCCAATCTTCTTCATCAGTCGTTGCCAACGCCTACCAGTAAAGTAATATAAAATTATCATACCTGTTCCTTTAATGTTTCAACTTCCTTTAACTTTGGAGTGGCAACCTTTTGAGGTAGAGATTGAGACTTAGCTGGGGACTTAGAAGTCTTGTTAGTCGGCTGACTTAACTTTTTTTCAGACTTTTTGGCCTTCTTTTGAGAACTTTTGGCTGGACTTTCTTTAGCCCTCCGAAAGCAGAAAAATTTGAAGTAAATAAATATTGAGAAAACAACGCCTATCACTGAAACACCAATGGCCAAAAAAGTGGTGTTGAGACTATCAGCAACGTCTGCCATCACAATACGTAGCCTACTTCGAGGACTAAAGCACCGACTCAGTATGAATTAAAACAAAACACGAGTACCAAAATATCTATGAATATATATATTACACATTATCTATTCGCTTTAATTGATCAAATAAAAATTTTAAATTAAAGCTTGAATAAATGTGTCATCTCTTTGCCGTTAAATTAATGGGCTCATGAATGAACTTATTATTACCAATATGTCTGAGGTTATCTTATAAGTACACTTTGATATTTCAAAGTTTAGTGCCACCTTTGATAATACAATATCATTTTCCAAAGTGCTTTTTAATTTTAAAACTTCATTGATTTGTTGTAGCTTCAAGAAATAAAACCAGAAATCCCGCAATTCGTACCAGGAAAGTAGTTTTCGAAGCATAAACCTATTAAACCCTTAGTTAATTAATTGTTTAAACACATTTTTACTTTCAGTTTATCATAAAATTACTAGATAGGGAAGTGAATAACAAGGATGCGACTCTTGTACTATTAAATTAACGACTTTCGCGTGCGCATAAGCGTAATATAGTACAATAATGTCACTATATATATTGTTAGACAAATCAATAATGCCTCAACATTTTTCCCTATTGCACATGTCCTGAAACACATATATTGATGTCATTATAATTATATCCGCTAAGAATGAGCTAATTCTAACACAATCAGAAAAATTTATAAAAGTTAATCATTAAGTAGGCGGCGATCACTTTTTATTTACATTCGCATTAATCATATTTGACGACAAATAATTTATTTAGCTAGAGCATAACTGTTAATTCTAATTTTCTGACTCTTGGAGGCTAAACTAGTTTTATAAAACTATTAAACCAATTTATTTTCAAATTATGATTATCAAAATAGTTAAGCTGGTTCGGCGAATGACAAATGAAATTTTCCCATTTTATAGAATTTGAAATATTGCTTTTTATGGTGCATTAGCCTATCCTCTGACATTATCTTGGTTAAGGTTAGAATATTTACATCTAGAAATTCGTGATGCTAATTTTCTTGTAAGTAAGTCGATCATATGCGAACTGATGTTACAACTTTCTTCAGTGAAAAGTCAAATGGTAAAAATCTGCAAGACCTAGTATTACTCCTCATTACGGATATTTCAATCTACATATATAAATTAGTACCAATCAATCATCGACTTTCAGCAAAAGCCGGACTGTGTTTCAAATGATGCGAACGGATATAAGAATGAACATAAAAATAGCTTTTATCGCTAACCTTCGTCGGTTTTGAAATTCTTACCTAACTATATGTCCATGATTAAGTCGATTAGGAACTTCAAATTCTTTGAAAAATTTATTTAACTTCATTCAGAAAAGCAGTTGGCTATGAATACCACTGGACGTGGATCGATGTGGGTCAAGCTTACAATCACTGAACTCAACAGAATTATAATGATGACATTTAATAAAGTGTTCATCTGCGAAGCCAGGAGTAGCGATTTCAATACACATTAGTGCACACTCGTCGAGCGAAATGTCCCTCTGCGTTTTAGGTCATTTTTGAAGTGCTGTAAAAAAAGTAAGCAATATTTTTACTACCAATGTTTTTATACATTATTTATTCACATTAGGAGCATAAAATATAAATAAAAAGGTAAAAAATTCAGAATTCCGTTAGTCATCAGCTGATGAAGTGGGGCGTCTCAAAAATTTGGTGCGTGACCATACCCACGATTTAAACTCTCCTAGCAATCGAAAAAGATTATCAATCTACAATAATGCCGTAATGTCTGGAACTGCGGAAAAGTTACAAAAAAATTTTTTTACAAAATGGAGACTGCCTAAAGAAAAAAATTTGTACCACTTTTTTGAACATTCTTCGATTTGTAAAAATGAAAATTTGAGGTTGTCCGTAGTACCGGACGTAGACAAGTCCCTAAAGAAGACTCTCTTAAAATTTCAAGTAAATCGGTTCGGCAGAATCTGAGAAATCGTGGGTATCAGATTCAAAAGACAGTTCTGAGAAAAACGCGTTTAAAGTTTCAAGTAAATTTTCTATAGTCTAAGTCATAAAATTATATTTTTAACTTACATTTATTTAATCTGCCATTCCAGCTGCATACATCGGACCTTCCGCGACTTCGAAAAAACTATTTCGGCGTCTCTGTTTTCTATTCGAGTAGTTCTGGCCTCCTTTGATGCGCTGGATGCACGTATCTCGGAGTGGTCACTCCGGGCGTTGTCTCGTCTAATAGCAAATGCATGCGCTTCTGGACTATTTTTCTCTCCCATAATCGTCATCATCTTCAATATCGATATAAAGCCTTCATTAAAAATACACACAGCAATAAATGTTGCAATTTCAATGATCTGAGACCGGAAAGAAAGTCCATCAGACCCGGAATGGATATGCTTTGGAGCGAAAGTCCATATCAGCGAGTTTAGAGACTCAATATTATTTTGAGTTTCTGAACCCAAACATCGAGTCAATAACTCTTCTGATGATAAAATCTCGTAAATTAGCTTTAATATTTCCAAAAATTTATCACACAGAGGAGGATTTTCGCGGTCAAACTCGTCTAATGTTCCTTCAGATGCAGCTTTTTGCCACTTACACCAACTCTCCGCACCAGGTGGGTAATACATATGTTGTGGGTTTTTATTTGTAGAACTATTATGGTAGTACGTTGCCCAAATTGTATTTCCCATGTTCTCAACAGAATCAGGATGCCGGCGGATCGCTAAGCCATAGTATAATGAGAATTTATTGATGACTTTATCAGTTAATTTGCCTTCACCTTTTCCACCAACCCCTGTATTATCTTTTTTCGCTATATATATAACGGAACAAAAGGGCATACTAAGAAATATTGATTCAGGAAGTCGGAGAACCCATTATGTCTTTTGTTCGATTAGCTGCAGCCCAACCGGTTTGGATGCCTGCTCAGCAAAATACTTATTTCTCCGAAAAAAATTGAATTTTGGAAAATCCTCTCGTAGACATTCTTAAATAGTTAAACTGTGGTCTAGAAATAAAAAATCGATTTTTTTTTCATATTTTCAGAATACCCCCTTAATAAATGGGGGAGTAAAATTAGAGATTTTCATAAGAAAGGCCCAATGATTCTACACCGCAACCTCAGATGAGCGTTAAAATCTTTCTTACTTTGGCTTAGCCTTTAAAGTAGTGAGAATTCTATCCGAAAATTTTATTTATTTGTATCAAATGGTAGGCTTTATGATAGTTATCATTAGCCCTTTGGTTGACTTCGAGCTTCACAGAGGGGAGGACAATTAAAGTCACAGAAAGTAGAGGGGGAAAAGAAGAGTGATTCACAGATGTTAAAGAGACAGACACAAAGGTAGAGAAAAATGTTTGGCAAGGTGAATACTGTGGAAGTGGTGGGGTCATGGTAGTTTGAAGTGGGAAGTCAACTGCCGATAAATAGACTTTTTTTGCCGTACAAGTAAACGTTGCCCAGGGTGCCCCACGTGGGGGTAAGTCCATCGCTCACAGCGTCTCTCTGAATACAGCACAACAAAAAGTTGAACCTTGAATCTATTTCTCACCATGTCATGACATACAATTGCTTTGTAACATATGAATTTCAAAGAACTTGGAGAGATCCAAGGCAAACTAAGTCCTTACAAATGTCATCGATAATTTTGTCGAAATTCTTGCAAAAATGAGCTTTTAAGTCATTTTTCTGACTGTTCATCAATTTCCATTAATTCCTAATTTAATCGAATAAGCTCTAAGTTGCCTTATATGTGCATTTAAATTGCTTCAATTTTGCAGTTCTTACACATTTCTGTTTTTTGCAAATTTGATCAATAGGCAGCTTCACATAATATTCCTTCAATCAGCTACGAAATAGCATCTCGAACACCAAAAAAACAAGTGTACGCCTATGTGACATTCATTCGTTATCAGAATTGCATGCACCTAATTCGGCCGCGCTACACCAAGGTCATAGCACAAAGCACATCATCTGTCACTAATATAGCAGTTGGTTTTATAGTTTTTTCCTCTTCAATCTTTCTTGCTCGCATATGCACGCTGAACCTACAATGCTAGTTCAAGTCTAGTGTGCTGCGGGTACAACCTCGAGTGCGTGAAGGGTAGAAAAAACCTTGTTAAGGAAATTGGAAGGGGTGAGCATCCCTTTATGTTCATTGGACGACTGGATGTGCTTAAATAAACACCTTTTGTGCGAGAGTTGGGGTGGCGGCTTGAAAATGTATAGCTGTGAATGAAGTCATTCAACTTTCATAAGGTTACGATATAAATTTATGTTGTAGTAACATTTATTTCAAGGGAGTAAATAAATAATAGCTATGGCTATCAGAAGGACGATTTTATTATATATTTCAACAAAGGTTTTGCTATAAATTCCAACTAAATCCTATCTAAAACTAACTTTAGATGAATATAGAGTGAGATCAATTTTAAAAAATTATTTTACTAAAGCGAACAGGTGAACAATCAGTAAGAAAGTTAAGTTGAAGTATTGCTCTTAATTCGATGGCACATGGGGTGTACGATAGACTTACCTCCACGTGGTGTACCCTGGGCAACGTATACTCATACAGCAAAAAAGTCCATTAACTGGCATTTGTCTTCTGACTTCAAACTACCATAACCCAACTGTATACCATATTCGACCACTTCCAGAGTACTCATCTTACCTTCTCTCTACCTTTGTGTCTGTTTGTCTCTTTACATTCGTGAATCACTCTTCTGTTCCCCCTCTCGAATTTTTCTCACCGAATCATTATTCTGTCCCCCCTCTCGACTTTTTGCCACTGTTAATCTCCTCCTCCTCTCTGTGAAGCCCAAAGTCAGCTAAATTGCTGAAGTCAAATAAAGGGCTAATGAAAACCATCAAAATGTCTGCCGTTCTAAACAGATCTATACTAAATTATAGAACCTGTGGCTTTGTGTTATAAATGACACTTATTGATGATTTTAATGTCGATTTAGAAACGTGATTTAGTAGTAATCCTTTACCAATAAATTGACACTTCG